CTAACAAGTTCCCAGAGAGCCAGATAGGTAAAAATTTCGTGCCAGGGGCGATATATTTCTAAGCGTCTAGCTTTCGGATGCATGAATCGAAACAGACTGTTAAGCTCACTTTCTTGTGAGTCCAAACATAAGGTTGTGTGTAAATTATCGAACTCGAGTGAGTTTTAATAATTTGAAGGAGAGGGTTGTGAGTAAATTATCAAATTGGAAAATAAAATACCCTCTCTTTGGCAGGAAAGGTGACCCTAGTAAATTTTGTTTCAAATATGATAGGGGTAGCTTAGGTATCAGAAATTTGAAGTGGGTTAATGAGGCATATTTAGCTAAGTATGGGTTTAAGTGGTTTGTAATAAATATTTGAAAAGATATGATTTCTGGAATGCTAAAGAGAAACAAAGCATTTCCTGGGCCTGGCGTGGTATTCTTCAGGCGAGAAATCTCTTTAAAAGAGGTTTGAGATGGATTGTAGGAAATGGAACAACATTGATTTTTAGAGGGTTAGATGGATGGATGATCTCTCTCAGTGATCAGTGAGGTGGTGATGAATGATGGAGAAAATAGAGAAGAGCTCCAGGTGGCTGATGTCATTGATTTTGATAGAAAGGTGTGGAGGGAGGAGTATATCCGATCCTTGGTCCCAATCTCTGCATAAGATTAGAACTAATGTTATTCCCTTAGATAATGCTGAAGATAGGGTGGTTTGGAGGGGTAAACCCCAAATGGGGCTTTTACTGTTAAATCGGCTTACAAGGAAGCTTTTTTAGCTAATGGGGGGATGTAGAGGGTTTATTGTCCTGGGTGCAAGGTGTGGAACCTTAAATTTCTTTGATAGGCTCCCCACAAAAATTTTCTTAAGAAAAAATAGGGGCATCCTATCTGACCTCGCTTGTAATTTTTGTGGGGATGAGGAGGGGGAGGATCATATATTTAGGACTTGCCCTATAGCTAACCAGGTGTGGATTACTATTGCAAAGTCTGTGAAAGGACCAACGGATAACAGAGTGGACTTGTTTTCGTGGTGGGCCACCTTGAATGAGGAAGGATTTAACAAAGATCAAGGAAGAGAGAAATGTGCTTGCATTCTCTTAGTTCTTGTGGAAGAATAGAAATGAAAGAATTTTTAAAAACTCAAGTGCAGACCCTGTGCTTATCATTGAGCGAGCATTTCGACTGTATACGGACAATCAAAAGTTCAAAATAATCCCAGTTTGGAAGGGGTATGTTCATGCAAAAGGTCTAGTAAACTTATTGTTTGGAAGTGTCCTAAGGGAGAGAGGATTCAAATTAATTTCGACGCATCAAGAAACAGGGAAGGCCATTGTGCCATTTCTTACGTCGTGAGGAATTCAATGGGAAGGATTCTGGAAGTGAAAGTTTTGAACTATAGATATTCACCATCATCATTGAAGGAGACTCGTTGCTAGTGATCTCATTCCTTATCAAGAAAATCGAGGAGTTTTGGAGACTCAAAATGGTGCTAAAAGAATGCAGGAAGATAAAGGAGCATCTTTTAAGCAGAGTGGAATATCGTCGTACCTTCAGGCATGGTTTTTAAAAACGAACCAGTTAGGGGTCCGGTTACCGGTTCGAACGGTCGGCCCGTTCTGATAAAAAAATAAAAAAAATTGAAAAACGGTCAAAATTATTCAAATGGTTCGAACAATTAACCGGCCGATTCAGCGATTTTCTGACCAAAATCAACGATTTTGGGAGAAAATTCTTGATTTTTCCTATCCGACTGTCTGATCTAGTCCGATTTTGAAAACCATGCCTTCAAGAAAGCAAATCAAGCTGCTGATTTGTTAGCTAAAGAGACCCTATCCCATTCTGATGTAATTTGCCTTGGGGGTGCAAGCATTCCTAAGGATTTATCTGTAATTTGCTCGGGTGACTTGTGGGGAAGAGCTATCCCCCATTTTGTGTAACTCATCCTATTTTATTACCCAAAAAAAAAAACAGTTGAGAGGCTCTAAAAGAACTTCGCCATATGCAGACTATAAAGCGGCCTTTGCATGGTTAAACACTCTATTTGAGTTAATATTGCCTCCCACATCGGGTAAATAAGTTAACAGTGGAGGGAGCAAAGGACTATAAATAGAGTGAAAGAAAGAAGGCAAAACATACTTACCTGGACGGGGTTTTTGGGTGATCAAAAAGGCCCATTGCCTAGGTTGGTGACCTCCATTGCACAGAGGAGGGGTGCCCATCTAACATCTCCCCAAGTGGGAGAGTGTACGTCATAATTTGTGGTAGCCGGGGTACGCGTTCGCGCGGCCCCTACCCAATTTTTCATATAAAAGTGTTTGTGTTTGTTTTATTTAAAATATGCATCATGATGTTTAACTGATGGAGGAATACTAACGTATGGACCTAAGTGTGGTGGGTTGCATTCGAAAGTTTAAAGTATCTAAGTATTATTACCCCCAAAGTACTGGCAATTTATATTTTGCCTTTTAATGTTTATTTCATTGTGATGGTTTAAATATGCTGAGTAGTTTTATGTTGTACAATAACAAATTGAACGTGTAGCTGTCAAGTATATTTGGGATTGGGCCAGATCAGATAGCCCCAATTAAGGTCTGGTCCGTATTTTCCATCAAAAAAGGGGACTGGTTCAAAACTGATGGTACACGAAACTTAATCGAGTTGAGACCGGGACTACCTTGACCTGAACCAGACCTAACTCACATTTGACACTTTGACAGCACTGTATTTCTTTTGGTATCACACATTATGGGGATACTCAGGAGTTGGGGTAGAGCAGGGTGCATGAGGGTACTCAGGAACCGGTCATGGCTATGGGTCCAGTTTTAGACCTCAAAACTGTCTGACCAGRGTCTGGACTGGATGATTGGACCATTTGACCCAAGAACCACTGATCAAAGTGGTTTCATTTTCCGGTCGGTTTTTAAAACCATGAAAAAAACACTGGGTCATGATGCCAAAGTCATTCTTGAGTTCAAGATTTGCTTCATGGAATGGGATAGAGGTGTTCTAAAATGTGAATTGTTTTTATTGTTACTGGTTCCAAAAATAAATCAAAGCCATCTGGTTTGAAAACATATTGTTTCTCAAAACAAAAACACAAAAAAACATGTTCTTTGAGTTCCTGTTTTCAAAAATATGTTTTCATCTAATTATTTATTATCATGTTTTATAAATAATATAATTTCTATACTACAAAATTTGTTTTTGTTTTAAAATCCTTTATTATAATGGTTCCAAAAACATATATTGCTTTTTTGAAACAAAACCAACATGTTTTTTACCTTTGAAAACAAAACAGAGTTCATGAAAATGTGTTTTGATTTTTTGCTGATGTGGCCACTTCAAAAATAAATGAAAACAAAAACATTCATGTTGTAAAATACACCCTCTAATATTCTTTTGGGAAAATTCGTAAACAGTACACTAAACTTTGGGGGTTGTGTCAAGTCAGTCCCCAAACTTCAAAATGTGTCTTTACAATGCCTTGAGCTTTCAAAATGTGTCTAATAGGTCCCTACTATTGGTTGACCGTTAGTCAACACTGTCACGTGACATCAGGTGCGCAGTAAATAGTTTAAAATGACAAAATTGCCCTTTATGATATTTTTCTAACCAACCCTTTTGTTTGAGTGTTAGAAGAAGGAAAGGGGAAGAAGGGTTATGAAATCGGACACCGATCAATTGTTGTAGCTCCCGCTCCCCTATTCAATGATCAATTGTAACCGGACGATCACTTGTTTGGTTTCATAACCCTTCTTTCTCTTTCCTTTTTTTAACACAAACAAAATGGGTAAAATGGTCAAAAAAATATCATAAAAGGTAATTTTGCCATTTTTGAAATTATTTAATGTGCATTTGATGTCACGTGATGGTGTTGACTGACGGTTAACTAATGATAAGAATTTATTAGACAATTTGAAAATTGAGGGTACTACAAAGACACGTTTTGAAGTTCAAAAACTGACTTGACACAAACCCCAAAGTTGAGGGTGTTGTTCAAAAGTTTTCCCTATTCTTTTTTCAACTTTTTATTTTTCTCAGTTCTTTGTTTGAATGGTGTTGATGCTTGGATTGGCCGAAAACAACAAGGTAATTTCACTCCCGAGCTTCGGTGGTGATGGCCGAGGTTTGAAGGTTTGAAGGAGGAGAAGTCGAGGCCAAGGACTATGTCCGAGGTGGAAGGTCTCTTCGGATATTGTAGGAGCCGAAGGCTGGTACCAAGTGTAATGTGCAAGGGGTCCAAAGTAGGTCTTGCAAGGACAGAGGTGTCAGAGGCCTAGGGTGGGTACTTGAGGCGAGGACTTCGACGATCAAGTTAGTACAACGTAAAGTGAGTCAGAGGTCTGAAGCCAAAGGGTCCAGACGAGGATTTAAATAACACTTAAGTTCTCTAGAGGGAAGTAGCGCTTAGAGATTACTCAAGCTCCAAATCGAGTCCAGAGAGTCTAGCTCCTTACCTTGTGGTGGATGTTTCGTATTTATAGCCGGAGTCGCTTAGGAATAGTTGGGCCTGGATGGTACAGATACGAGCCGTATGAGGGCTTGGCGAGATTCTCTGCCAGAGCCATGCAACGCTCTTGGATTGGGTCCGTCCGGTCTACGCCTGAGCCTTGAGTGTCCCCATGGTATGCACAGGATGGCGCCCTCTGGTTCGACACGCATCAGTCCGTACAGGCCAGTCAAATGCGGCTACATCAAATGGTTTGAGAGATTGAACCAGAATTCGGACCATTCGCCCCGTATAGTGGCCAAATGAATTTTACGCCTGGTCAAAGTCTGATACAGTCCCATACGCTCTTTGAATCTTCCTCCCTTTTTTTTGCGTAGTTAAATTCTCATTTCTCAGCATCCCAATCAAAGAAACCATGTAATACAAAAATCAGTACCCAGTGCCCAAAATACCCTTTTGATGTACTGGGCCTCCTTGAGCCAGTCATCGGTCCATTTTCGAACTCTTAAAACTCGAAATAACCAAAATACTCACCTTAATTCCAAAAATGCCAATCCACTCTTGTTTCTTGTTCCTCAAGTCCCCACATTCAGTCTCAAAGCTCTGTCTTCATCAACGGAGCAAATATCGACGTATAGAGAAGACGAAAAGCAGAACTCAAAGTAGAGACTAGAGAGATGGAGTGTGTTTTCGGATTGGTTGGTAATGGTTTCACTCTGATTGTGGCCGATACGTTGGCTGTACACAGCATATTGGTTCACAAATCGAACGAAGACAAGATCATGATCCTTGACTCTCACAAGCTCTTGGGCGCTAGCGGTGAAAGTGGTGACAGGTGCTCTCTCTCTCTCTCATTCTGAAATTTCCTCCCTTTTGTCACTGGGGGTGTGAAGAAGTTGTAATGTATTTTGTTTTGTTTTCGAAGAAATTTAATGTTCATTGAAATAAATGCAGAGTTCAGTTTACGGAGTATATACAGAAGAACGTAGCATTGTATCAGTTCCGTAATGGGATTCCGTTGACAACCGCAGCTGCTGCAAATTTCACTCGGGGCGAGCTCGCCACTGCTTTGAGAAAGGTTCCGCTTTTTTCTAAGTTTTCTGGTTCCTTGTTATTTTCTTGATCCCGTCTCTTAATTCAATTTTAGAACTCTGTGGATTTAGACATAAAGTCCTCCCATTTTTTTTTTGTTCATGCAGATGTTGTGATCTGATACTGGAAAACGTCTAGGGTTTTTAATTTCTGGGATTTAGGTTTTAGTTTTAGCTATGTAGGTGGTAAAATTTTGGGTCGTCGTTTGCTTTTGATCTGAAAGCTGTTTGGACGAGGATTCTTCCAACTGTTGATAAGGTTTTCCTTTTATTTTCAGCTTGAGCTTTTTTTGGTGGTTTGCAGTTTCAATTTTAACTTGGTGGCTTCTCTTATTGGTTGTTAATTTGTTGGGGTTTCAGTTAGGGTTTTTTGTCTGTCAATGCTAATTGCTTTTGTAAGAATACCCCATTATTTTCTAGAGCTTTTTTTTTTTTTTTTTTGTAAATAGTAAAATTTAAGAATATCCCCCATCTATCAAAAAAAATTTAAGAATATCCCCGAATTGGTGAGTATAAACACGAATTTCTTGACAGTATATGCATTCACCCATGGACAGGTGGTGCAAGTGAACTTTTGTGTGGATTATTGGGAATCCAAAGATGTTCAGCGTTTATAAATTAAAACACCTATACCTTTTTTTTTCTATTTTGGATCAATAGATAGATTTGTGATTAACTTTCTTATATGGCTGAAAAAATCCAGTATGTTGTCTTGTAGAGTTATGGAACAGGACTACAATTTTACAGTGACTTGATACTCATGATATGTAATCTTAGGGTTCCTGGTCAGATTTTTGAAAGATTTAGGTCCCGTTTGGTTCACAGGAATAGGGGTCTGGAATTGGAATATTCCGATTCCAACTGTTTGGTTGGGCGGAATCAGAATCCCATTCCCATTCCTAGTTTCCTACTGGAATGGCATTCCCCCATTTGAGGGAATGGCCATTCCCTACCCCTCCCTTGGGAATGAAATCCCATTCCTGCTTATTTCAATTTTCATTCACATTTCTGTCTTAACCAAACAGACTATGGGAGTAGACCATTCTGATTCTGATTCCGAAGAATTCCCATTCTGATTCGGATTCTGATTCCGACTGTGAACCAAATGGACCCTTTATTTAGAGAAACAGGCAGACAGCATTAAAATTCAGAAAATCCAGATTTGACCCTTTGGCTCTTACATCAATGGGGGGTGTGGTTCATAATATAAAACATGGGGGGCTTCCCTGAAACTCTTTGACATGGTCATCTATGATCGAGTGTCCATAGCTCTCCTTATTACCATCTTTATCGGATGGTTCTTGTTTACAAATTTTAGAAAATTGAAAGTTCTTTTCACACCTTATGGTACAAGAGCCAGTGAAAGGCATCATAGACCAGAGATCTTTACCACTCTGTCTCAAACTTTTGAGTTACCATCAATAAAAGTAGGCTTTTATCACCAGGCTCAGCTCCAGCTTCCATGCCATCTACACATTATTGTTCTCGAAGCAGTAAAACAAGAGCACCATGATCTTGAGCTTCTGTATGAAGAGATGGCTCAAGCTTTTACTTTTGCACTTTTGGGTGTTTTTTAAGCATTGTGGTTGGGTGGTGTATTAAAGTTCTTAATCCCTTGGGGCAGAACCAAACAAGTCCATGTTAGGGTATTAAAGTTCTTAATCCCTAAAAGATGATTTTATAATTTTAATTATCTTTTAAAAATATCTTTATTAGGATGAATGAATGAACATTAGCAAATAGGGGAATAAAAGATATGTTTAAACGATAAAATTAAAATTACTTTTTTTTTTGAGAAGGTAAAGTAAAAAATTTTATTGTTGAGAGAAGCTACAATACAACAGCAACCTAGCAGTGATTTAATAGGCGTGCCTAGGTGCACCGCTATTTGCCAATGTTGTTCATTCATTCATTCCAAAAAACTATCTTCTTAAAAGACAATTAAAGTTATAAAATCATTATTTTTTATGTGAGAAATAAGAATTTAAGACCCTAACATGGACTTGTTTGGGCTTGCCTCGAGGGGTGTGGTACTAAGGTGATTCATAGAATCAAGAGTGCAATATGTTTTACATTACATTAGCTACTTGAAGTAATGCAATTGAGGGAAAAAGAGATTTCATTTGAATACGCTTTACATGTTATGTTTATGTATTTTAATTTTAGATAATAGGTTTTTTAAAACATTTATTTTAAAATTTAAGTTTATATTTTTTATGAACATTATGTTTATTATTTATTTTTATTTTTTTGCGCCTTGCTTCAAAAAGGTGCACGCCTCGCCTTGTGCCTTGCACCTCAGGCGTAAATTGGCCCTTGCGCTTTTTTTGCGCCTTGTGCTTTTAAAACACTGCAACCCAGTGGAAAAACACTAGGAGAACTACCACATTACAAAGCCCAAATGTAGTGGGATTCAAGGAGCTGAAGGACATTCTGATTTTTAAATTCTGAAATTACAGATAAGCAGGAAGCAAGTCTATTGACAGCAGTTTTAAGCAGATTTTCAGGAGCTCTAGCCTTGTTACAGAAAACACGACTGTTTCTTTCAGACCAGACAGTGACCAGCTTCCCTTTCTTACTCAGCCCAGGAAGCTTCCAACTACACAGAACCTCATTTACAGATCGGGGCATAAGCTAACTGATGCTGGCTGAAGTGATGAAATGCTCCCACAACTTAGCAGACAGAGGGCAATGAATGCATAGATAATCACCAGTTTCAAGAACCAAACCACATAGACCACAGTTCAGATCAGGAATCTGAATCCCTTGCCTACTCAGATTAGATCTAGACAGGCATTTGTCTAGAGCCAGTACCCAAACCAGAAAACTTGCCTTAGAGAAAACCCCATCTGGCTTAGCTTCTCTGCCATAGATTTTACAGAGAAAACCCCATCACCACTCCATTTCCGCTTCCATTTGTCATCCACATCAATAGAAACCTGCTGATTCTGTAATAGCTGTAATAGCTCCAGCAGCTGTTCCAGCTCCCAGTCATGGAGGTTCCTTCTAAAGAGGGGACACCAAACAGCACATCCCTCCTCCCACTCGGAGTCAAAGACTRATACATCAGGGGGGGGGAGGCACAATGACTGAGGTTAGGGAAAAGCTCAGCCAGGGAGGAGTTTAAGCACCAGAGGTCCTTCCAGAATTTCAGCCTCTTTCCATCTCCCACCTTATATTCCAGACCTCTGAAAAAGAGGGGAAGATTTTCATAATACCTTTCCACAAGGAACAGCCTCACTTCTGAAGGGGGTCCAAAGATCTCTAGTTACCCCAATCCACACCATACTTAGCAGCAATCAGAGACCTCCACCATGCATCCCTTTTTTTGATGAATCACCATGCATCCCTTTCAGAACCAAATTTCCAAATCCACTTACTTAAGAGGGTAGAATTAAAAATCTTTAGTTTTCTCACTCCCAACCCACCTTCTTTAACAGGGAAAAAGACCTGATCCAATTTACTAAATGTATTTTCTTTTCTTCTTCCCAACCCCTCCACAAGAAGTTCCTTTGGAGGGATTCTAACTTCTTAGAAACCTTGGAGGGGATGGGAAAGAGCGAGGGAAAATAGGTTGGGAGTTTAGAAAGGGTACTCGTTAATGAAGCGGGATCTGCTCCTCACAAATGGGCGCCTCACAGGCACATCCACCGTGCATTGAGAACATCTCCTGTGAATAATAACTAATAAGTACGGGAGATGTTCCCAATGCATGGTAGGATGTGCGTCTGAGGCACCAGCTGTGAGGAGCAGATCCGATCTCCTCGTTAATAGAGTCACTCTACCACTTGCAGAGAGGTATTTGGCCTTCCAAGAAGCCAGCTTCTTCTCCATTCTCTCAATCATAGGATCCCAGACAGAAGAGGAAGTGCATTTACACCTTCCTGGGAGATGATTTACCTGACAAGTCAAAATCTCAGCTAACTCCTCCAGATTCTCCACATGGCCAATGCCAATAGGAAAAATCACACTCTTACCAAGGTTAACTTTGAGCCCAGTCACAACCTCAAACCAGCAAAGAATTCCCAACATAGAATCAAGCTGCTCAGCCGAGTGTCGTCTGCAAATTGGAGAAGATGAACCTATCCCACATGCCTTCTTCCACAGCCAACTTTCACACATGCCATTGATTAAATCTGAAAATTTAGGAGAAGACACACAAACTCTCATCCAGTACCTCCATTTAAGACCAAAGTTCACGTGGTCATAAGCTTTCTCAATATCCAACTTACACACCAAGCCAAGCCTACCATCCCTCTTTCTGGAGTCAATTAGCTCATTTGCAATCAAGACACTGTCCAACATCTGCCTCCCAGGAACAAAGGAACCTTGGTTCTCAGAAATCACAGAAGGCAAGACCTTTTTCAATCTCCCTGCCAAAACTTTTGCCAGAATTTTATGGAAGCTGTTGAGGAAGCTAATAGGTCTGAAATCTTTTATGTTAACAGCCCCAGCTATTTTAGGGATGAGAGTAATAAATGTGGAGGTTAGGCTTCTTTTAAAATTATAAAATCATTTTTTTCAGGGATTATTGGTCTATCAGTTTGATAACCAGCTTCTGCAAGGTTATATCGAAGTTGCTGGCTAATAGACTCACAAAGGTTTTGGCTTTTGGATAAGCTGGTCCTACCTTCTCAAAGTGCTTTTGTGGATGGGAGACAAATTCTTGATGGCCCTCTCATTGCTAACGCATGCATAGATTCCCAGCTGCAGCAAGGACTGCCTAGGTTCATTTGCAAATTGGACCTCAAGAAGGCATATGACCATGTGCGTTGGCCCTTTGTTGATTATGTTTTGCAGAGAATGGGGTTTGGAGTCTTGTGGAGGAAATCAATTTTATGCTGCATTACAACTCCCTGGTTTTTACTGATCATTAAAGGGGCGTCGGAAGGTTATTTTGAGGGGGAGAGGGGACTTCATTAGGATGATCCATTGTCCCCTTTCCTTTTCTCTCTCGTGGTGGACCCATTGGGTAGGATGGTGAATA